GATTATGAGCTTTAATAAGTAAAATTATCCCAGCTACAATGACAGACAACAAATATTACATTTATAGTATTACAACTAAAACAGTTTTTGACGCCGCCACTGCTGTTTGTCCTTCATGAGCCTTCGTAGACAAGATGGCGGTGCAAGATGGCGGCTGCCTGTGTGGGGAACCACGACCATGGAGATATAAACACCTTTTTATAAGGTAAAAATAATAAAACAAGGTCTTTGTCTGCAATGATTAGACATGTTTTTTATAATTGTCATTAGTGATTATCTCAATTTCAGCTAAAAGACTTGACAAAATCCTACACACTGTGCCTTTAAACTGGAGCCTTACCTGCAAAACCTGACAACCAAGGGTTAATTGGCGTTTTGTTGAAATGCTAACATTCCCCCACTTAGTTCCTGTGAAGTGCATTGACAGGTTCCTGTAACAGACTCTTCAAAAGACTTCATAATGTCCACAGTACTAAGTGGTCTGTTCAAGTTTGTAGCAATGAGGTCCTGAATGTTGATGACTTTGGGAGGATTACCTTGGACTTTTCATCAATCCTAGTCGACTGAGTAAATGGCAAGAGAAGGTATCTGTTCTCAGCTAGCCATACAAGCTAGATCTGTAGAGAAGCTAAATTATTTTGTTTTTCATTTCTTGTCCCAGCACATTTTTAACCTCCTAGGACCTGGCACCACAAGTGTGGACAAAAATGCACGCAATGCAAGAGTTTGGGTCTTATGGGGGTATAGTTGTTAGTGTTTATTTATTAACATTTCATTAAGAGTTAGGTGTTTGAATAGTTTTTGCTATTAAAAAGACCCCCCATGCTGCCTGTAAACAATAAAGAGGAAGCATTTAAATTTATTTATAAGGTTGGTGGACAATTTTCCCATTAATGAAAGTAGCACAGCAACAAGCTATAATGTTATCACTGCCATTCCTTAATAGTATGAAATATTCATGTCTTACTTCTGATCATTCTCACACTATTGACCCCTGAAACAGTATTTTTTTTWAATCTCACAGCTCCTGGTTGGGATCCTTCTCACCTGGTTCGGCGCTCGGGCGTCTGACTGCAGGTGTGCTGAGGAGGAACAGTCCTCCACTTCATGGCCTCCAGAACCATGGCCTCTGCATCCACCAGGCCAAAACCATACAGGTGACTGACTGTAAAACACATCAAGTACTTTGTTGGTGGATGAAGAGGTTTGTGCCTCTACATCCACCAAAGCCTTATTACGCTCACACTTGTTCATATTATTAAAATAGAAACAGCTTCACATTTTAAAGGAAGCAAAGAAAAGGTGTTCGTTGGGAATAAAAGTGGAATGCAGCCTGCCTCTGTGTCCAGCAGCATTGGTCTTCCAGTCATCAGCTTTCAGGTGGGATGGTCTGGAGGTCTTCACTAGCAAGTGCTGTACATCCCTCCAGGTGAGCAAAATGCTACAAGAAACAAAAAGTTCCCGTCATCTGTGCCTCCTACAATTTATTGTTTGCTCTTTTGAAGCAGATTTTTTTTTCTGAATTTCTAATTTGGTACATTCCTATATTGTAGTATGACTACAGCACAGTTTGTACTTTGAACTTCTGTGCAGTGTTAAAAACATGGTTGTTAGCTATTCTGGATTTGTGTTTAATTTTTTTGGTTGTTGTTTCAATAATAAAAAAAATGTTTTTAGTTTTTTTTTTCTAAATCAGACAGTGTCTTTTAATGTAAAGTATTTTTATCAGCTGCATCCAAAGACAAACATGTCTTTGATCTGTCTACGATCATCTGCCTCTCATGTTAACAAAGTATCAAACTGGAAGTAAACTCTCACTGGAAGGATTACCAGCAAGTTCTCCTAGAAGCTTTAGTGTCTCTGAACATACTTATTAACTACCTTTGGAAGATTGTCACTACCCGATGGACAGATGGATATTTGAAGAAGAAATATCATTAAAATGCTTTTCAAAAAACTAAAATAAGTACAACTAACCCTAACCATTTTGTGCAATATAAATCATTACAAACTAATAAATGTAAGGTGGATTTCAAAGAGATGTAAATTTTGAGCAAGTAATAAAATATCATAATATTCAATACTATAGAATAAATCACATTTGCAGTACATAAAGAGCAACTTGGACCTTCTACTATAGATGAGTAAATTTATTAATTTTATTTATTCCATCGGTTATTTCTCTCACTTCAAGCACTTCTTTAAGTCCTAATATAATAACTTACCTACAAGAACAAAAATACTACTGATTAGAAAGAAATTACAGAAACTCTGACACGTCTCAAAAAATAAATGCAAGTGGGGAAAAACATATTAAAACATGTAACAAAGAACGCAAAAACATTCAAAGATGACTAACTTTGCCTCCAGGGCGAGAGCTATGATTCCAGCCACAATGGGAGCAGAGACAGACGTGCCTGTGTGACCCTCAGTGCAGCGATGCCCGATATCTGTGGTTACCTTCCAGAAAGCACAAACACACTGTTTACTTCCCACTGAGTTTGAAACCCAGTAACCCCCACCCCACTCACCCACCCCAAACACGGGCTACACATACAAGCACAGCTGACTTTCACCACAACTCACATCTCATTTTTGTTTTCCATTATTCACTGGTCTATTCTCATGAGGTGTGATGTATATCACCAGTGGTGGGCAGCACTAATGAAAAAATTAGTTGCACTAACCCTAAAGCACTAACTCTAATATTTAGGTCCTCTAATTCTAAAGCACGAATGCACTTAAAAACTTAGCAAAAGCTAATTATAAAGCACTAAAACCCCAGCTGACCCACAGAACATTCCTCAGAGTCAACATGAGACAATATTTTCTGTGTGCAGAATGTTGTCAATATTTCATCTACTGTAGTGGTTCCCAAAGTTGGGGTCGGGACCTCTTTGTGGGTCACAAAACGTCAAGTGAGGGTCTCCAGATGATTTCCAGACATCAACTTAAATGCAAAAAATAATAATAATAATAATAAATATAAAAATAAAATGCTAATAGAATATTTTCATCGTGATTATTGCAATTACACAGCGTTATTAGCAAAGTTTGCATGTGTAAACAAGTAATATCTGGAGTCATGGGTGTCTGCAACTGTTATTTTTTGGGCCGGAAGCAAAAAGGTTTGAAAACCACTAATCTAGTGAATAAGTGGCACACAAATGACCAACACGTCTGACAGCTCTCACCCTCAGCTGTTGACAATAATGTTATCAATAATATTTAAATAACTCAATTAATGCTTATACATTTGTCCCATAAATTTAGCAAGTGCTRATCCACTAATGAATTAAAAAAATTGCCAAAGCCCTGAATCACTAATCAGGAAATTAGTTCCCCTATTAGTGTTTTAGTGCTTTAGGGGAACTGTGCCCACCACTGTATATCACTTTAAAACTGTAACCTAAACACACACATCTACTGACGTGGTGTTAAAAATCTTGGCTACCTCTGATGTTTAAACATATTTGTTCTGAATTATTAAACGTCACTTTATGAAGACGTTGAGGGAGTCCGTACTTACGATCTTCCGCTCGTGAAACTCTCCGCTGCTGTAGGTTGTGGCCATGATGGAGCTACACACCTCCAGGTACCAGGGCTTGTTTCCCTTCTCCGTAGTGCTGGAGACAGAGATGGTGTAGATGCTGCTGGTGTAGCCGTCACATGAGCAGTGATCGCCCTGCCGCCCTCCATTACCTGCTGCCCAGACAAATATGGACCCCAGGCCTTTGCGGCCCTGTGTGACATAAATACACAGGTTTCCTTTTTGCAAATCCACACACATTATGTATGTTCATACACCAGACAGACAGATGGAACAATGGTCAGGACCTTCTTGATGCCTTGCTCAAAAGCCTGCTTAGTTAAGGGTCCCGGACCATCAACTGTCCTGCCGTCATCTTTTGGTCCCCAGCTGGCGCTGTAGACGTGGATGTAGTCAGGTCGAATTCCCAAAGACTTGGCCTCCACGATATCAGTCACATCCCCATCCAGCATTCGAATCCCTGTTTTCATTGTAACATCAGTGTCACAAAACAACCTCCACCTCCATGTCCCATCCAGTTCTGTCATATCTGTCTGAACGCTAAATTATTACAATAAAMGGTTTTTATTCTCTGCTTTTCCCCCCTCTGATATAATGTTGTCTCTTTAAAACTAAAAGGTCCACAAAACATCTTGGAAATGAAGACTTGAATGAACTTACTGTATTTATTCATRTATAATACTAGAAATTTAACCCTAAAAATCATCCATAAAGTGTGTGTGTGTCTGTGTGTGTGTGTGTGTGTGGGGGGGGGGGTAGTATTATTATACAAGTAGTATTATACACAGGTTATTGATGATTACATTTTTATGCTTTTTAAGCTCAAAAAATGATGATCGTATTATACATGAATAAATATTAAGTATTTTTGCTGTAGAGGTTTCCCGTACTTTACGTATTTTGATTTTATCTGTAACTTTCCAGTTCTATTGTGGTTTCACCCAAAGGCATCTACCTCCAATGCGAGCATTGTAGGCAACTCCAACGATGCAATGGGAGTTGTTGGCCGCTGCTGCCACTTCACCAGCACACCGAGTCCCGTGTCTGCATGCCAACAGTAAACTCAGTGATTATACCTCCTAAACAAGTGCTGAAAGATCAAACTGGTTTGTTTCATTGATAGAAACATGATAGAAACCATGGTGCGGTAGTTCTCATTTTGCAAGAAACCAACACATTTTATATCACACTTTCAGGACTCACTAAAGAAAAACAAACTGGTGAGACAATTTCTTATACTGTATATATATATTTCAGTACGATGAGTGGTTTCACTGGAAGGTAGAAAGTGTGGACAGAGTAAATTGGGTAAATGGGATAAAATTCTTTTCTTACATGTTTTCATTGCGGGAATCATAACGTGGTGTAGGATCGTAGTCATTCCCATTCACATCATAGCTCGCAAGATGGTCCTACAAAAATGATAAACAGTGAAAATGGCAACATAAACAAAAATAATAATTTTCAAGTCAGTATAGCATCAATATAGTATCTTTTGTCCCCTCTCCTTCTGTCAGCCTCTTATGATGATGTAATGGATCTTTTCATACTTTAAAACCAATTACTTCATTACGTACAAAGTTTTGAATGAGATCAGGGTGGTTCCTCTCAATGCCGTCATCCAGTATGGTGACCACCACGTTTTTGCCCGTGAATCCTCTTTGCCAGGCTGCCAGAATGTTCATCTCTGAGCGACACCGGCTGGTCCTGTCATTGCAATGCTGAGGAGAAGCGTAAACACACACATCAACTCTCTTTTCTTGCCAAAATGACCTGATAACTAATAAGTGAAGCAGACTTACAATGTACCACATGTTGGACCATTTTGGGTCATTAAAGTAAGTGAAGTTTGGGTCACTTTGGACGGAGCGCTTCACTCTGGGCTTGACTACCTGCTGTTGGGCCCAGTCCACCTGAGGACAGAAGTGGAAATGATACACATACTGAGCTGTCTAAATGTAACACAGGAGTTTTGTTAAAAACCTTACATAATGTGCACATTGAGTCATCTTTGTCAATTTTACATGATTACTTTTAACCAACTACTCAAATTATTCCAAAGAAATGTCTTAATTAGAGTATTTGAAATATCTAATTACTGGATGTACCAGGTAGCCTCAGATTTAGAATTGGCTAGTGCAGTTGTCTCACAACAAGCAGCTGGGTTTGACTCTACCCTGCAGTCTTTCTGGAGACGTGCACACAAGGGTTGCAAGTGCACTGTTTCCCCACACAGTCCAAAAAGCAAACATGTTAGGTTACCTGGCCACTTTAAGTTATCCTTAGGCGTGCAAATAAATGTTGGTCACTTGCTCATTCCTCATTTTTATTTGTCCCGATGGGAGGCTTCAACAAGACAATCATTCATTTAGATTTAAACCCTTTTATGAGCCTTTTTCATTTTTTGGTGGCAAGTGTATCAAAACACACAACAGGTTCTACCATGTTGTTTTACAGAAGTCGTGACCCATCACATCAAAGTGAGGATTAAGTCAAATTTGATCAAAATGACCTAAGCATATTCTTGACTTTTTAAGCTACATTTTGAATTTGTTTTCCTAATCAGGAGAACTCGCTGACATTTGTTCTAAATCCTATTTTTAGTTTATCCTAATGAGGACATTTTTCACTCACTTTAAAAAGAAACCTCAATCAATTTTTAGGCATTGGGATTTCCCAGCTGGAAAGAAGAAAAACTTTGTTTGCAGGAAAAATGACAAAATTTTAAGACTTTTCTGCTTAAACATGTTTTTTGTTGCTACTGCTCTAAAAACTTCTTCAAAAAATTATGTTTCAGAAAGGATCCCTTGATAAGGTATTTGTTCGTTATGTTTTGACAAAATGCAATTATTGCAAATTTAATGCAATAGTTGCTTATTTCTCCGTAACACTTTGTGATTTAATCCTCTATTGATGCGAAACAAAGCCAATATGAAAAGGTTGTGTGACAGCAATGATACCTCCACAGGATTTAAGAGATAAAGTAGTAACCAGCTGGTGATACCAGAACCAAGTAAACTCAACTCACCTCAAAGTCAAGCCTTTATCTATTAGAATAAATTCACATATTCATCAGACGACTGCGTGCRAGTCTCTTTTAATGAGAACCTGACAGAACCTGATCCAGGTCTTACCTTGGGATCCATGTGGATGAAGCTGTGGGGTCCTTTCAGAGAGTAAGCAGCCCTGCGAACCACTTTGCTGTGGTGAAAATGATAATGATCCTCAAGACTTCCTATCTGAGCAAAGCACATTTTGCATTTTACATTAGTTTTTGCATTTAGTTAAAGAGTGAACAAAGCTGATCTGGAGGGCTTTTTTTTAAAAAATTTACAGATGAAACCTCATGCTGCTAACTTTGTTTTACATTTAAAGTGCATTTTTGTCCATCTTCACATAAAGAATATCATATCTCCAATAAAAAAGGCATGTTTTCTTTCGGCTTTGCCCCAAAAATGAGAACAGATGTCTTGTGCATAGCTGGCAGATTGTCAAACTACAGATGTTTCTAACTGAGAAGAGTTTTTATTTTATCTCTTCCCTGCCTACAATCTCAGTAGTAGCATCTGGTTTATGC